TAGAAATGCCGGGCTGGGAGGGACTGAAAGCCAAGGGGAATCGAGTGCCTGGCTCTTTGAAATCCCATCTTAAATTCCTGGAAAAAATAGCCCACCCCTTTGAAGAACATACCACGGCTGGCGCCAGCTCAACTAATAGAAAAAAGTGAACTCCTGTCTTTTGTAGGTATGTTACAGAATCACAGAACCATAGAAAGGTGGGGCTGAAAAGGACCTAGAGAAACTGATGCAGGACCTAGTAAACCTAGACCAGCCCTGACAGGTGCTTGTCCAACCTGTTTTTAAAAACCTCCGGTGATGGGGATTTCACAACCTGCCTTGGCAGCCTATTTCACAGTTTAACTGTACTTAGAGTTAGAAAACTTTTCTTAATCTGTAACCTAATCTCCCTGGCTTCAGATTCATCCCATTATTTCTTGTTCTATCTTCAGTGGACATGGAGGACAATAGATCACCATCCTCTTTATAACTGCCCATAACATATTTGAAGACTGTTATCAGGTCCCCACTCAGCCTTCTTTTCTCTTCCTAGTACGGCAACTACCATTGATGAAATGATCAAAGAGCAGCAAAATCTCTTGTGCCATATGCTAAACCATATGATACAACCACAAATACAATAATGCTCAGAACTTCAAATCTATCAAATTCCCAAATTAGCCTTGAAAATTCCCTTCAATCGGGACTGGACGTCCAATTCACCTTGGTAGCTTTTACCAAGGCTAGTCGTGGATTCTCCATCTCTTGATGTCTTTACATCGAGACTGAATGCCCTTCTGGAACATGCATTCGTCAAACATAACTTATTGGGCTAAAGACAGGGGAAAATACCCTTTGATGTATAGGAGGTCAGACGGCTCAGACTGGGTGATATAATGGTCTTTTCTGGATTTAAATGCTATGAATATTCCTCAAAAATTTCCATTAATGGGACCTAGGGTCCAAATCCCCTAGGGACCTTTAAAAAGAGACTGAAAACAGGCTTTAGAATTATAATTTAGTCCTTAACTGAGAGCCCTGGAGAACTAAATCCTTCTTTTCACCTATAAAGCAAGTTCACTTGCCCAGGGCCGTGTGTCTGACACCTAACCCAGAGACATCATGTCTAGGGAGAAGACAGGAGGTAATTCTAAGAGCAGAGATGAGATTTTCTAAAAGTCCTGAGGAGTTAAACGCAAGTTCCCAAGCACTCCTTTAACAACATTAAGCCCTACTCCAGAAGGGAGCCACAATATTCACTGTTGGACAATATACCCGCCACCAGTGCCTCTGGGACAGAATGCAGGAGATCCAGTTTGTTGGAACATATTCCTGGCAGTGGAGGTATCTAGGAAGCCGTGCAGAAGGTGATCAGGAGTGGTGAGCATGGTGGGTCGAGGTAGCTATCTATTTATTTGGTTTTAAGCCAGATAATCCTCTTTTTTTGTGATTTGTCTCCAGTCATGTTTTTGTCCAGTATCATGGATGAGGGACTCAATCAAGGTCACACTGGCTGGCAGGGCCACACAGGCCGGGGCGTGGCCACAGCTTTCCCACAAATACCAGAATATCTGGTATTCTAGCAATGCATCAGTGGCCAACATAGTTGAGGGCAGAAATGGATAACATTTTTCCAAGCCTTTGGCAGATTGTTTAACTCAGCTAAAAACATAGCAGCATCTGTCATGAACATGTTGAGGAAACCATTTCCCAATGACAAGTTACTTTGACCAGCTCTACCAACCTGAGCTGAGAGTAACACAAACACCCCTGCCCATGTCATGTATCTTCGGTCTGCAGGGTACAGAGGGACTAGGAATGGGCAAGTCAGAGATGATCCGGGAATAAACCTGCCCCTCCTCTCACTAGGGAGCCCCTCCTCTCTTAGGTCTCACTCCCACTGCTGTTCTGCAGTAGCTTGGTAGGCAACATCAGCCTCTGATTAGTGCTGGAATAAGGTCCCCTGAAGTTCTCAGGCCGCTTGCGTGTATGCGAGGGTCACAATCTAATCTAGGCTGGCACCCAGGGGACTCAAACATAGACATCTAGGGCCCAGAGTACTAGCTTTTACAGATTGCGCTGAAGAACCAGGCTGTCTGACAGCCACTAAACAGCCTCCGATCCTCAGGTGTGGCACAGAGGGGACTCATAACATGCACTGCCCATGGGTGGTATTTATACTGCGACACTGTACAGCTTCACAGGTCAAGGACTCCATCTGAACTGGAGTCACCTCCCTCAGCCAGAAGGACAGGGCTTCACAGACAGTTGTACTAATGCAATGCCATGGACTCTACTAGTGTTTATTCTCTGTCTGGCCCCTTCTCCTCTCCTCCATCACTGCACATCCATAAAGACACAGAGTCATAGAGTTCAAGGCCAGAAGGAACGACCAGAACACCCAGTCGGATCTCCTGTACTCCAACACTAAACCCAACAACTGAAATTAGACCAAAGTGTCACAGCCCTCTGGAGACTACACAGTTCTGTGCCACCGGCAGAGAATAGGAGAGACTGAGGTGCACCAGTGCCTGTGGTTCCCGCAAAGGCAGGGAAATGATTGGGATACACCCAGATAATCCTGTCAAGTGACCTGCACTACACTCTGAAGATGAAAGCGAAACCCTTCTAAGGGCCCTGCCAATCTGACTGGGGGAGAAATTCTTACCTGACCCCCAGATGGTTATTAGTGAGATCATGAACATGTGGGCAAGAACCAGGCCGGCACGCCCCTGAGAGAGAGAATGGCTTGGTGCCACCTCAGAGCCCTGCCACATCCCACCCAATGTCCCATCTCCAGTTAGGGTCGTCCCGAGGCGTCAGAAATTTAAAAAATGATCCCCGAATACACTGGGTGGTGGGGGAGGAATCCCTTCCTGAACCCTGCTAGTGGTCAGAGGAGACTCTGAAGCATGAGCTTTTGGGAACATAAGACATATGCCACAACTGAGCCCCAGGGCTGATGAGCCCTACCCCAGACCATCACAAGCAGCCCCGTCATACAATCCCACTCAGACATGTGTCCAGCTCTATCTTCAAACTAATTCAGTCATTGGACCCCCAGAACTCCTATTGTGTGGCTGCTCCAGAACCTCGCCCCACTGGTGGTTAGAAACCTTCCTGTAATTTCTAGCCAGTCTCTCCATCTCCCACACACCCGAATGTACATGTGAGCTAACACAGCCTGGCCTCTTGTCCCCTACCTAGTGGTTAGGCCATGAACGGTGGTTTATAAGACAATGGGCCCAGTACCCAGTCTGTGGCTATGGATACATATCTCCACTGGAGGCAGTAGGTCAGCTCCACAGATGCTGCAATTTGATTTTGTGCCACCAAAGTCAATGGAACTACACTGATGTGTTGAGGATTTACCCCAAATGTCTTCTCACTTACCCCAGTCTTACTCTTCTGGTTCCAATTAAACCACTCCCTGATTTATACACACAAGCAAGACAACTCCCATCATTCTTTTCAGTGGCCATGGAACAGGCACTAGTGGCCAAGCAGTGTAACGGGTATTGTTTTGGCACAGAATGAAAGTCTGATTCCTCTCGTGCACACAATTTACACCCATTTACTCCACAACTGGACCAGATTTTCTACTGGTGAAAATCACCCCAATGGGAGTGACATCAGCGGAGTTAATCTAGATTTGCTTTGGTGCAACTAGGTCAAATTCAGACGTGTTTGTGTGCAATCTGTGTGGTTATGTAAATAACTGACATTAATGAATACCTAAAGATGCTACATAAGCAAACTTTAATTACAGAAAGACAGAAAATTAATTCTTGGTGAATTACCTACACCCAGTCAGTCTCCTCAGGGCAGCTTTGATCTCCTTGTTCCTCATGCTGTAGATAATTGGATTCACGGTTGGTGGCAATATGGAATAAAGAACAGCCACCACAAGATCCAGAGCAGATGGGGAGCTGGAGGTGGGTTTCAGGTGGGCAAAGGAGGCAAAGAAAACAAACAAGGAGACCACAGTGAGGTGAGGAAGGCAGGTGGAGATGGCTTTGTTTCGTCCCTGCTCAGAGGGGATTCTGAGCACTGATTTGAAGAGCTGAACATATGACACAATCATAAAAACAAAGCAGCCTAAGACTAAACACACAGTAAATGCAATAACCCCACCTTCACTCAGATATGAGTCGGAGCAGGTGAGCTTCAGTAGCTGGGGGATTTCACAGAAGAACTGATCCACCATGTTGCCTCCACAGAAGATCAATGCAAACGTGTTCCCGGTGTGTAGTACAGAGTTGAGAATCCCACTAATCCAGGCACCAGCTGCCATTTGGACACAAGCTCTGCTGTTCATCATTGTGTCATAGTGCAGTGGTTGGCAGATGGCAACATATCGGTCATAGGCCATGACAATGAGAAGGGAAAAATCCGCTGTCACAAAGAAGAGGAAGAAAAAGACTTGGGCAACACATCCAGCATAGGAAATGGACCTGGTGTTCATGAGGGAGTTGGCCATGGATTTGGGAACAGTGACAGAGATGGAGCCAAGGTCTAGGATGGACAGATTCATCAGGAAGAAGTACATGGGGGTGTGAAGGTGGTGGTCGAAGGCGATGGCCATGAAGATAAGAAGATTCCCCACCAGGGCTGCCAAGTACATCACTAGAAACCCCACAAAGTGCAAAATCTGCAGCTCCCGAACATCAGAGAATCCCAGGAGAAGGAACTCGGTCACGGTGGTTCGGTTGGACATTTTCTATCTCAGAACATCGTGTGATGGTTGCAGAGAGAGGGACAAGAGCAAGGGCCAGGATTAGATCAGTAAAATAACTCTCCTTCTGTGAAAACCACCCGAATTTCCTTGAGTCAGACCCTTAGCTTGTGAAGATTGGTGTAATATGGGAAGGAGGATGCGGAAAACAGTTCCACTGACTCCAGTGGAGTTACTCCTAATTTACATTGGAGTGAGAGAAAGTAGAATCAGCTCAATGGACTGCAGTGCAGTGACTAATAATTTAAACCAGGGTGATGGAGAGGAGAATTAGGAAAAATTGCTTTTGAGGTATTTGTATATCACTGTCTCCCAAAGGTGGGCAAACTCTGGAAAATGTATAAATGTTACGATCCTCAGTTTACTGAGGGGAATCGGGTGTCTGGCTGGCCAGATTCTGCTGTCAGGGGCATTGCTGCGAATGTGGGGTAATTTCACAGCATGCTGTGGAATTACTCCCCATTTATACTGCCCTAAATGGGAGCAGCATCTCGCATGGAGGTGACCAAACCCAGCCATAATTACACGGTAAACTCGAATCATGAATAGAGCTCAGGGGTCCTGATTCCCTGTCCCCTGTTCTAGCCAGATTTCCATGCTCGCTGCGAGAGACAGACATTCCAGCTCCCCTCCTGCTTCTCTAAGCACTCAACTAAACTCCCTTCCAGATCTTGGAAGGGAACCCAGGAGTCCTGACTCCCAGTTTACCCCCTGCTCTAACCCACTAAATGCAGCACGCCTCCCGGAGCTGGAAATACAGGACAGGAGTTCTTGCTCTACCCACTGGACTCAACTCTCTCCCAGAGCTGGGAACACAAGTGAGGTGTCATGACTCCCAGTCCCTTCCTCTAATGACTACATCAGACTGCATCTCAGCCTCTGTCCCATGGACTCTCCACTGCCATCAGGAATGACTGCTGTGAGTGACAATGGAAAGTCATTGGGCCAGGGTAGGGGCGTGAGAGTTATTCTCCAGCGTGCTACTTGGGACACTCACTTGGTGTCTGGTAGAGCCAAGTTCATGTCCCTGCTCCAATGACTATTTAATTATTGATAAAAGTGGATCAGCTTCAACAGGAGAGACTGAGACAGTCTCATTTAAGAACAGCAAGAGCCAGGATTAGATCAGTAAAATAACTCTCCTTTTGTGAAAACCACCTTAATTTCCTTGAGTCAGACCCTTAGCTTCTGAAGATTGAAGTAATATGGGAATGAGAATGGGGGAAACAGTCCCACTGATTCCAACGGAGTTACTCCTGATTTACACTGGGGTTAGAGAAAGTAGAATCAGCTCAATGGACTCTAGTGCAGTTACTCCTAATTTACACCAGGGTGATGGACAGGAGAATTAGGAAAAATTGCTTTTGAGGTATTTGTATATCTCTGTCACCCAGAAGTGAACGAACTCTCGATAATGGTGTATAAATGTTAATATTCTCAGTTTACTGAGGGGAATCGGGGGAATACAGAGACAAAAGCAACAATGAGCTGATAGTGATTGTCACTATTTTTGGACAATTTTAATGTAAACCCTTGATCCATTCTAAAAAATATGTGTGTCAATTTGATCAATTCCCCCACGCCCACTAGAATGAAACTGAGGCACGAATATTCTGCCCCCTCTTTCCTAAGGTAAATGCTTTGGAATGCCTCAGTTTCCCATGCCCAAATTGAGGTAAGAGAAAAAAATAAGAAAAAAGAAATCTATTGGCACTTACAATTTCTTCCTTAAAATGCCACTCTGTAACTCACAAATATATTTCACAAATATATTTCATAGCAAGAGCAAACTTACGGTGCCGGACTGTGTGGAATCCTCCCAGACTGAGATGTCTTTTCTCCTCCAGCTACAGACTGCAATTGGTTACCCCTCTCTCTCTAGCCCCATGCACACCGCTCTGTCGATCTATCTCTCTATCTAATGCCCTATCACTGTATTATGAGAGGCTGTTCCCCCCTCATACTGAGGCTGAGCTGCTGCAAATACAGTGAGATCTGTGCTCTCTGCAGATGAGCTGTGTGTCAAAAACGTTGGTGCTGCGGGAAGGTGATTTATCCATGTCTGTTTCCTACGGGATTGTTGGACTCACTCCCTGGAGCCCTCAAGGACCCAGAGGCAAGAATTAATTTGTCTTGCCCTCTACTTCCCTGGAGAGATTTCAGAAACTAAAATAATCACAATTAAAACAAAGCAGCAGGGTCTAGAGGAAAGATTGTGAGGCAAACACTAAGGGCACACAGGAATGTATTCCAAACTTCTGGCATCAATTCCTAGCCCTGCCACTGACCTGCTGTGTTACCTTGGGAAAGTCATTCCCTAGGGCTGTCTTTCCCCTCCCACCCTTTGCCTATCTTTTCTACTGTAAGCTCTTTGGGGCGGAGACTGTGTCTTACATAATATAAAGGGCCTCTTATATCAGGCGCAACTATCAGATAATTACTTAATTATTAAAAAGCTAAGGGTCAACGTGTCCTGAGATCTGATCCCAACTATTCCCCTGACTTTGTTCAGTCCCTTCACCTCTCCTTTCCTCAGTTTGTCATCTATCCAATGGGGATAATAGTTACTTGGAGGATAATTCATAATGAGTAGTGATGGTGGGAGGAAGTCGTTTTTGGTTTTATGAAAACCTGGAAATGGAAAACATTTTTGTATATTTTTTCAGGTTTGGGGGGGAAAGTTTTCAATATCAGAAATCTTTTCCCAAAACTAGAAAATATTTACCATAAAGTGGCATTTTTACTAGAGAAGTTTATTGAAAACCAAACACTTTTCAGTCTCCAGTTTCATTTTTTTGCCCACCCCCCATCCAAAAGCAATATTATGGGATGTTACAAAACAATGACATTTCCCATAAAAATAATTTTCATTTTTGACCAGCTTTAATAATGAGTAATTAAAACTAAATTAAATGCATTTGAGTTGATGTGGATGCAACATGCATTGCAATTTTATTTGACAGCATCTGCTTGTCACAGGAACTGTCTGACTAGGTAAGATGTTTTGACCATCCAGTCCAGTATTCTGTCCCTGATAGTGGCCAGTAACACCTGATTCAGAGGAAAGTTTAAGAGGCCCCTTAGAGGACAGTTCTTGAATAATCTGCCTATGGCGGAGTCTCATCATCAGCTGGTGAATGGTGTATGGCGTGAGGAAGGTGAGTTTCTGTCCCTCATAGAGTTTTATCTACTCCAAAGTAACTGCATGCTCTCATTATCCAAATAGGCTGAAATATTCAAAGGAACATACTGGACATGTGTGTCTAAATCCCATTCGCCTTTGACAGGAGAGGAGTGCCCAGTATTGTGAGAGGCTACCGGTGTGGTGCTTCTGCTTTCTCCTGTTGATATCACTCGGCTGCGTGCGTGTGTTCCCTCTGTGTGCTGCCCCAGCTCTGCGCAGATAGCTGACACAGGAAACCCGACGAGAACCCCCAATAACCACAGAGTCTACTAAAATACAAAGGCACCTCGGCCAGGTTTATTGCGACCCTGACACAATTTCAGTTCCCCGTAGATTACTTAGTCTACA